TCGTGAACATAAGGTGCTCAGTCAAATGCCCAATACCTAGAAAGTGTTCAATAGCTGGTAGCTATTTTATAAATAAAAGCAGGTCACGCGTGGTGAGGAGCAGGTCAGAGCAAGAGGTTGAGGACGAAAGCTTTGATCGGTGGGAGGAGGAGGCAACTGGCTCTTATAGGAACTCTCTTGTAAGGCCCAGGGGCTGGGGGTTGGCTAGGAGGCCCTGGCAGTTTAACCTGTGTTGTCCAATATAGTAGCCACTAGCCAATGTTGCTATTTAAATTCAAATGAATTAAAATTAAACAAAATTTAAAATTTAGCTCCTCAGTCACACTAGCCACATTTTAAGTGCTCAGTAGCCACATGTAGCTGAAGTCTACTACATTGGAGAGCACAGATATAAAACCACCTTTGCAGAAAGTTCTACTGAACAATGCTGCCTTAAAGGGACCGTATTGGGCCGAACAGCAAGACAACATTCATGAATAACTGGTTAATTTAACTAACGTCCACATCAAAACTGATCTTCTCTCTACTTTTTCACTTATCTTTTATTTCACAGAATCTGAGGCTTATCAAAACTCTGTTACCCAAGATTCTGTGCAATTTGTCAAGCTGTTAGAATATTTTTGATCACTGTTTATACCAGTGCATGTGAATGCATTCAGAGAGATTCTATGAAGGAGGCCGTCCTTGCTTTTCTTGATTGAGTTTCTGAATTCTATCATTAGCCTCAACATCTCTGCAATTATCCATATCTGGTTATTAACACGTTATTTCTCCACTCCTCCTCCTCCTCCCCTCCTCCCCACCCCCACATCATTGGAAGCTGGGAGACTGTGAGATTCTTAAAGTGATCATTATTTTAGTAGCAGCTGGTTCTTAACAGCCCGGAATTTGTGACAGAGGTGACAGGATCTGTTTCCGCGGCCGCATTGTCCTAATTATACTCCTAATGGATCACAAGTTGGGGGATAAAGCGATGTTACATATTGTAGTCTCTGCAGGGCAGCATTTGCTGGTTCGCTGGGAGACATCGAAATGTAACATGTGTAGCCAACACATTTACTGTCATTAGTTAACCAAGCAGCCTGTATGCCTCTTTCAGCTCCCTGACCCACATTTCATCCACGCTCTGCTGTTTTTCTCCTGCAGGGTTATTTCCTGAGTCAAGTCCAGAGCTTATGAGTCCCCCAGCAGAGAGCTCTCTTCTGACTTCCCTAAACAGGCAGTTGCACCTGAGGGCTAGTGTTTTTCTGCTTCCTAGTCAATCTGTTAAGATTTTAGCAGTAGAGTCTTGGATACCTTTTCACAAAACATATGGGAGATTGTAATTACTTCGGCCTGGTACAATTTTAGAATTGAGAGAGCACGGAAGAGGTGCAAATCTTCTGTTCATAAATAACCAAATCTGTGGGTATTTGAAAAGGCATTTTGTGCAGCAGGAGAATTTATGTGTCACATTTCACCCTTGGCACACTTTCCAAATGAATTGTTCAAAGAGAAGTTATATTAGGACAAATAGAAATGACGACCAAGACCAGATGTGGATTTTTAGTTAATATTTATGCAACACCCAAAGGGAAGATGGTATTGCACAATAAACTAAAAATGTCTTAGGCAAATAAGGAAATCTTTACCCTGAGGAGCTGGCACTGCAAAGGTATGAATTATACAACAAAGGACGGGCAATGCAGGGTAGGTTGGGGCGACTATAAAAAAGAATTGACTGAGGAAGTGGTGAGGTAGCAGATGTGCATAACCTACTTCAGGGAAAGAAGGACTTAGCACTTTTCTTGGCCAGTCTTGTGTCTAAGGTAGAAAAGTCAAGCCAACCAGTCTAATTTCCTTCATCTGCGGAGAGCAACAGTAGCTTTAAATAGAATATATTTATATTCAGAACTGAGGCAGCAATCTGACAGTGGGTAAGTACACCTTAATAAACTAAAAAGCAATGTCCCCAGATTTGAAATGATCTCCAAGGACAGTGATGACATCTTTAATCTGATTTCCCCCCCAAAGATGTTCAAGAAAGGTAGCGGCTACGGGCATTGGCTGCTTCTCGCCCTTGGAGAGAAGACTGAAAGCGACAGAGGCTTAATGCACTGGAAGAACATTGAGACCCACGTTAAATTATAATAGGAAAATTTGTTAAAAGCAGCTGGATTTCTCAAACACAGCTGGATTTTCAGCCTTCCATTCATCAGGAATGGCAAGATGTGCCACTTTGCAGCATTTCTCACAGTTTCTCCAGCTTCCAATTCAGAGGATTTGGGGGTGGGGAGAGGGAAAAGGAGGAGGTGGAGGAGGAGTGTAGAAAATATTTATTTAAAACTAGTGGGGCCTTGAAAATGGAGACAGCTCTGGAAAATGCTTCCAAGCTTTTAGCACGCTGAACCCAAACCTCTCTAATACTTCCATGCCTCTGAGTCCTTTTAATTATTGAAGAGAGTTGTCTGTGTGACTTCCCACCACAGGTTTTTCTGCAGACTTGATGCATTCCTAAGAATTTTTGACCTACTTCCTCTTGCTCTCCTTCGTTAATTCTTCACCATCTTTAACATTGACAACACATCAGTTTACCTTCTTCTCTTATGATGGAAATTTGTGGATTTTCAGTTGTTATACAGTTTCTGCTGAGCATATTTATTTGTTCACTTGTTCATTGTCACCTTTTTTTTTTTGTTTCTTCTATCTGTCCAGACGTTATGGGCTCTGGGTACCACATGGAAAAGAAGACTGATAAGGTCCCTGCCCTCTTGAAGCTGACATTGTAGTGGAGATTCCAGATACTCATGCAGACCGTGAAGAAAAGATCGCAAGGTGATGGGAGAGGCTGCTTTCTAAAGTGTGGGCTGGGAAAGCCTTTCTGAGGTCACGGCATTTTAACTAAGACGTGAATGCTGAGCAGGAGCTCCAGAAGGTCTGGGGAGAAAGCATTCCATGTGGGGGGACGAGAAAGTGGTAAGTTCCAGAGGAGAAGGATGTCTGTGCAGCTGGATCACTGCAGCACAATGTGATGGGAGAGCAGTGATCCTGACCCAATGAGGGCCTGGCTGGCCGTGGTAAGAAGAAGAGCTTTCTTCATGTGCAACAGAAACTCATAGAACATTTTAAAGTAGGGAGATTATAGGTTTTCAAAAGAATCTTCTGTCTAATGCCTGAAGTTAAGACGGCGGGGAGGGAAGAATTGCAGGAGCAGAAGCAAGGAGACCACTTAGAAGGCTCCTGCAACAGTCCATGCAGGAAATGAGGGCACCTGGGACTAGGACTGAACAGTGTGGATGTGATGGGATATGTTTTTGAAGTAAACATCTAGGTTTTAGATAACAACTAAAAGGAAAGGAGGAAGTTGGAAAGCATAATAATAATAATAATAGCTAACACTTCCCATAGGTAACAGTACCCATAGGTAGGTATTATTATCATCATTGTTTTATAGGTGAGAAAACTGAGGCACAAAGAGGTTCAGTGACTGGCCAAAGGTCGCCCAGATAATAACAGCAGAGTGGGGACTCACTCTCTGCAGGGCACTCTTCCTCCAGTGTACTGGGATCTAATACCAGCATGTAAGTGCAGTGGAGAAACACAGATACAGAGGACCTGGATGGGACGACTGATAGGATTTTTAAAACTTTTTGACCGTGAGCAGAGGTTATGGAGTAAAAAAAAAAAAAAATCTAAAAGATCAGTCTCTGCCTTTAAAGATACAATTTCCTTTTATGTATGTTTACGTAGGGTTTTTCCAGGGCACAAAACTGGGCCCATCGTGCATGGCATAATAGGTCTAATAAATATTCATCATTTCATCTGTGTCTACACAGATTTCCTTGTGAAATCAGGAAAAGATGGAGCTTTGTTTTGCAGACGCCCAAACCACGGTATTTGCTTTTCAGGCCTCTGCCAGACATCCAGGGGGCTCAATTTCTTTCCGCAGGTTTTGAGAGCTGGCTGGTTAGGTTCTGCCCCTGGAGTGGGGGTGGGGGGAAGTCAGCCCTCTACAGGTCTGTTTTCCATGCATTGTGGTGGCCATGCAGCAGGGGGCGCTGCAGCAGTGTTCATCGTGGTCCAAGGGAGCCACTCGTCCAGCCAGAAAAGGGCCGAGCCAGGAGGAGGTGTGGCAGGCAGCCCACGGTCCTCTTTGGTCTTGCAACTTTAGTACCCAGAGCTCGTTCTACACAGACCATTCTTCTACACTATATTTCATCATGTTGGATGCCTTCCATGCAGCCCTGCATCCGGACGGAAAGGAAAGGGCATTAGCTTCCCGCCTTCCTAGGTTTGACAGCGCTGTACTGGGCTGCAGAGGCGTCTCTTCTCCATGTTCTTAGGGTCAGCCTGCCAGTCTCCCTGAATACACGAAAGGCCCCCGCAGCTGCAGGGTGTGTATGTGTGTGTGCGTGTCTGTCTCCTCTTGTTCCCTCTCCACACGTCTTTCCATTGACAGTCGGGACAACGGTAGGCTCGGAGCTGAAATCTGTCCCTCCTAAAATGCCTCTCAGGTCTCCAGTAGCTCCCCCTACCCCCATTTTGGCTTACGCACTCTGAGCAAGTGTGAGATGTCGCGTGTATGTTTGTGGCAACCGAGGCTGCAGCACTCGCCAAACCTGTCCTTCGTCTCCCGGTCCCCAGAATTCTCCAGCTGACCGGACTTGCGCCTGGCACACACAGCCCTGGGGTGAGATGGAGCCGGTGCCAGGCGCTGCCAGGCAGCAGCCGGGCGATCGACTTGTCCTCCTCGGTTTCGTTTCTCCTCTAGCTCCCTCTCCCAGGGCGCACTCCAGCTACCCCTTTGGGCTTTCTTCCAGAGGTCGCCCTTGGGACCCAGGGGCTTTCCAGAGGGAAATGGAAGGTGAAAGAAACAAGGGGAAGGCGGGAGGTGGGGAGGAGGAGCCTCCGGCCCGGGGAGGGTGGGAGGAGCCTCGGGGGGGCAGTGTGGGAGGAGCCTTGGAGGAGGATCTGGGTGGAGAAAGCGGCTAGGCAAACCCGGGATGGAGGGTTGGCCACGCAGGCGCGGGGGGCAGCGCCGAGAACCCCACGCGGGAGCTTCTGGAGTCTCTGGCCACCGCTTCTCGCTTCACTGGAGAAGGGGCTGGGGCCAGGAGGGAGCTAATAAAGAGTGAATGAGCTGCAGCCGCTGTGGCGGCCGGAGTCAGCCGGAGCGGCACCGGGGCCGTGCGCCCGGGAGGCGGCGAGGGGAGGCGGTTCGCCTTGTCCCTCCCATCCGTCCCTCTTTCTCTCTCTTCCTCCAGCTGGTCCCAGAGCCCGGCTCGGTCCGGTCCCTCTGTCTCCATCCCGCACTCTTCCACCTCCTCCGAGTCCCACTTCTCACCTAGGGCGCCCCGAACTGCCATGGGTTAGGGTGGGGGCCAGGAGCCGCGCGAAGGACCAGCCCTGTGCATCCGCCGGGGGGCGCGGAGCCCGAACGCCGCTCGCCGCTCGCGGGCGCCGGGCATGGGGAGCGCGGTGTGAGCCCGCACCCGGGGAGGACACAGGAGCTGCGGAGACGGGCGCGAGGAGGTGGAGAGCGGTGGATTGGAAGGACCCGAGGGAGGAAGGGAGGGAGAGGCGGGAGGGTGGGGAAGCGAGGGAAAAGTGAAGCTGGGAGGAGAAGGCGGCGGAAGGTGGGGATTGATGCTTCTGTTTTTTGTTGCCGCTGCTGCCCTCGCGCTGGGAGCCGAGCCGGAGGGAAGGCGGTGGAGAGATGATTGCAGAGTTGGTGAGCAGCGCTCTGGGGCTCGCCTTGTATCTCAACACCCTGAGTGCGGATTTCTGCTATGATGACAGGTAAGGGGGTGAGAGGAAGGGGTGACGGGCTGCGAGGGGACTCCACGGTAGCTCTGAAGCTTCCCGCTTTAAGGCTCGAAGTGCGTCTTGGAGGAACTGGTCCAGCCCCTGAAGATTTAGGAGACGCGTAAACATGAACACCTAAAGCAAACAGCGGGGACGCGAGCGCGCTGGGCGGGCTGAGGGAGTTTGGGTTCCTAGTTTGCAGCAGGTTCTCTCCCTTGCTACTCCGCTGTTGGCAGAAGCTTAAGTTTCTTACCGGAAATCGCAGCAATTTGGGAAACTGTTTAATGAACGTAATTTTTAAAAAAAAGTCTTACGTATTCCTTGGTGCAACAAAAGCACATTGAGCGATTTTACGTCTGGGCTGGAAGGAAGCTGCTCCCCGCCCCCTAATAGATCTTCCCTGTAATGTTTCCTTTTATTGATGGGACACTTTTATTTCCCGACATTAAAACACACGTTTGACAGTTGCCAAAATAGTAGAAAGAGAGATCGTACTCGGTTTCAACTTTGCCTTTTGACGCTTACTGTACTGTACTGTACTTTGAGCCAAGACAATGCTGCTGATGGTCGCTCCCGCGCCCCCCCCCCCCCCCCGCCTCCCTCACCAATCGATGGAGTAGCGCTTTATAAAAGCCTGGCTTTCATTTCTTTTGGGTAGTTTTACGTTAGACGTTAGCGATCTTTTGTGCTAATTGGGGAAGAAGACGCCCCTAGAGACTGAAGTTGTCTTCTGCATTTGGGCTAGTTTGGGTGGCTAATGAGACCTGAACTGTGTTGTCAAAGAAACTGCATCGATTTCTGGAAAATGTCACAGTTGTGCTCTTGTCTCTACCTATTTTTTAAACGTTGTTAGTGTTTAGAAACTGATGAAAAGCTCCAATAGCCATTAGGGAAAATTCCAATTTGTGCCTTTGCGGTGTCTTAATCTGATTACAATTAAAACAGATGCATAATTAAAATATATTAGGGAGAACAGCACGCCTGCCTAAACTTATTAACCGGCCTGGGGTGTTTCATGCTCTATTGAAATTAAACCATCCAAAAAGTGAGCACAGATTTACTTTGACAGCTTTTCAGCAGCCTCTCTGGGCTACGGCAAGTGAATGGATCCCTAGGGTCAGGGCGAGGCACTGAGTGAACTTAAGCAAAGGGGTAGATAGTGAGGGGAGGTGAAGGCAGAATCTTCTCCTGGTGGTAATTAGCCGTGTTCTGTGTTCTCTGGTGTGCCCACTCTCTGGCTAAAAGCATGTTGGTGGATGTATGCCTCAAATCGGAGACTGTTGGTTCACACCCACATGTCTGTTATGAAGTCCCCTGATAATAGGTGCAGGAACATCCAACAAACCTTTCTTAATACATTTTATGTAGTGTCTATCGGAGACTAGTTGATAGGAAGCCACTGTTAGACATCAACTTTTTCTCAGCTTTTAAGCATTGTACAGATTTTGGCAGTTACGCTACATGCCTTGAGAAGTAAATGATCTGTGTGTAAGAGTCGGGTGAGCTGCTTCTGTTCCCTCCAGTTCTGTGTCACTGTGCATCTGCTGCTTCTAGGGTAGTGGCAAAAAAGCTTGTGCTTGCAAAGATGGGTGACTTTTCACTGAATGAGCCCCGGGATGAATCTGGGCAGTTACTGTTGGGGACAGTTCCAACAGAAAGTATTTAAACCAAGATGTAGAACTTAGGAAAAAAAGTAACTTAGTGTAATACTGTAACTATTGTAGAACACTGTGATAATTCAGGTATTCCTCATGTATGCTGTTCTTTATTGCTGTCAGTTCTTTACAAAGTACACGTCAGGAAAAACTATCCTGTAACGATTAAGGCTGGCACTAAACTAAATTTGCATGGACTATAGGACTAATGCTGTAGGTCTAATGCTTATTTTGTATTCTTTATTCATCAGAAGTGTTAGGACTTTGTAACTTGGGGAGAGTGGTGAGTGTGATGATAAATTAGTTGTGCTTTTATGGTTGGCAATTGTTATAAGTTCTTTACATGCTATAGGTGGAAAGGAGTGTCAAGATTCCTGATTTCTTCCTAGCTACATAGAGGAATTTAAGGTGATGATTTGGCCATATCATCTAATTGATAGAATATATACAATATATGATATATAGACATTGTATACTGATATGATGTTGTGGGCCTGTTAATATGAATTACCCTTTGCTACAATTTGAAAAGTGTATTTTACTCTGATTTTCTTAGTAGCATAACTGCATAAGCAATCACATACTCTTAAGAGTATGAAATCTTTAAAGTATCAAACTAGGTTTTCATGGATCCTAGAAATTATGATATGCATATTGATAGCATGGCACTTAATTGGTGTCTGCATAACATGTTCGGGTGATTCTGTGCCAAGGTGCGCTGTGAGTTGTGGCTTTTCAGATGTACTTTTCTGTCTAGCTACTCTAAATCACTGGTGTGTGAAGGGGAAGAGAGCTGGGGAGTCAAGTGGAAACTGTAGGAAGATGATAATGTGTTTATTTCCACCACTCCGTTTCAGACTACAAAGACTCAAGTTTAAAACTACATCTGTAGATTCTGCTATTCCCCAGGAACGGTTGTGAAATACAGTCTGTAAGGAGAGACCAGTGACGGAAGTGGATGAGCAGCTCTCCATGAGGAGATGGCTCTGGTGCTTGACTTGCTTAGCTAAATCAAGACTGCATTTTAGCTGTAGAATCTGGCATTTACTGTAGGAGGGCTTTATATTGCTTCAGCTGAAACGTTATTGCTGTGGTACTTCTCAAAGTTATCATTTCTTTTAAATATAGTGATCGAGTTTACTTTATAAACTATATATATAATTACTTTCAGTGTTTGATGTAGCTTGGTTGAGATTAAGTGGTAATCTGAAACTTTCTTATAGCAAAATCAATTTCCCTATGGTAAAATTTAATATTTTACAAGTGTTTTTGTGCTAAACTTAAGAATATGGCTATGATGTGCTGAAGCAAGCAGTCGAAGAGTGGAATTCATCATATCTGATGAAAAAGCATATATGGTTTCAGCTTCTTCCCTCCCCTCTCTCCTTCAATCTAGTAATGACTGGATTGAATCTTAAGTTGTGGTTAGAGTAAAATCGGAATTATAAATATGCAGACTCAGCCAAATTTTAAGTCATGTTGCTTGTGACTTCTTGAAGGACCCTCTCATTTTCTGGAGAAATTTTGATATTTAGGTCAGTGGAAAAAACTTGCTGACCCCAAATTCTCTGCTCTCATCTGTTTGTTGAGGATAACGTTGCATCATTTTTCCTTCATCCTTTTTAAAAATACTGTTGTAAATTTTGCATGGCGATAACACTAAAAGAGGAGTCAGTTTACTTCAAAGCAACAAAAGTAAACCGTAACTGTTGTTTTATAGTCTGATTTCATTTTGTACATAAGCATCCAATTGGTGGGATGTCCGTTATGATTTATAACAAGTAAATAACATAATGCAACTAATACATGTTTTTATTCTCATGTGAGTAAAAAAAGACAGTTTGAGTTTTTGGAAGTGGGAAATGGGTTTGTGGCTGCTTTGAAAATTTTTTTCCCTATTGCCCATTTTGCATTTGTTAAACCCAGTCATGGTCATTAACATTGCTTTTAGGTTTCTTAGCTATTCCATTGTGCAATAATTGTGTGCAACTTGGAGAAACAACTCCACAGCAGAAATTTCTACTCTTCAATCAAAACTCCCCCAAACTTCTGAAGAGCACATTTCTAGTTTAGTTGTTCATTTGGATGTAAATGTAAATCTAAGCTTTTATAGAAACACTAGTTAAGATTTTTTGTTTAGACTCAAAGATTTTGATTAACAGTATTTAAAATGAAGGAAAGGAGGATTTAAGGCATTTAACAAATTTTTTTAGAAACGTGTTTTTTTCCCTAAAGATATTCAACTCTTCCTTCTATGTGATCATTTAATGTTATTGCCAGTTTGGGTTTTTGACCTGATGTGGTGAGAATTCCTTGTGAAATGATCGATCACTCTGTTAACTTCCCTCTAAAAAGTTATCTCTAAAGACTTGCCTTGGACCAATCTCGGATTGTTATCTTAAAATTCTAGTATGTTCAACCATTGAAGGCGTGCCTGGTATTTAGTAAAAGCATGTTTAGAAAGAATTATTATAAAATCAAAGTAAATAAGGGAGAAGTTTGCTTTGTATCAAAGGTTGTCTCAGGTCTTTAATGGAAGAAGCCAATGTGTACAAGAGTATTAGTTTACTCAGAGTTCCTTCCCAATTTATAATACAGTGAAAAAAATGCAAGTGAATGCAATTTATAGTTTATGAAATATTTTATGTGACATTTTATTTTCTAGCTAAGTTTTGCTTGTTTCATCAAATCTATGTGGAAAAGGCTCATTTTGCTGTTTGAACAAGTACATCTCTTAACAGTAAATTAAAATTAGATGAAGCTAGTATGGACCACTTTGCCTTACCGCCGTTGAGCCTGTCACATGGAGTTTGTCCTAGCAGATGACCCACATACAGGCACTGGAAGGACATGTGCAAATGCTGTAGGGAAAATGGCTTACCAGCCATCTGTCTCTTAGTTGTTTTTATATATATGTATATATATATATATATTTCATTATTAATTCACATTGTCTTAGTTTTTCAGTGCTAATATGCCCCTATGGTGACGCTGAATTCCTCGCTGCTATAATTCTGAAATTGCTACAACTTCTTGCATTCCAACATGAATTAGGAGCAGTTTGTCTTCCTAATCTCTTTGTTGCTGTTCAGCACACTAAAAGCACTTGTTTAAAATGCCCGTGATAGTGCAGCTGTTTATCATAGGCAAAGGGTACATTTTCTCTAAAACACGCACATTCATAATATTAGGCAAGGACAGAGTTTACCCTTAAGACACTCTGAAAAATCTGTGGCTGACAAACCTACTTTCTTATAACTTGATTTTTCTCACCCAACATGCTTTTAACTTAGTAACATTCATCTTTTAAGTTTTTTGATTCTCTCTTGGAAGCTAAGT